TTTCCGATCGAGTTGTTTTATATAATTTTTTTCTTAGAGGACGACTGAGCACGAAGTTCTTAACTTTTTCTTTTAATTTGATTTGTCTTTATTTTAATGATGTTTGACTTCCATATGTTTCAAAGAGATTCCGTTGATTCCGTTGATTCCATGAATTCGATATGCCGGGGGAGAACCATGTCATACCAGAGATACAATTGATTGTTTTATTCTAGAACCTGGTTTTCAACAGGTTTAAAGTAAATTATATATATTTTTTGTAGAAATCCATTTATAATATGTAAATGACCAGAGGGGATGATAAATGTGGTGGTGGTCGTTGGTTTTGCTTTCACAGTATGTTTGGACCCCTTCATTCATTTTTGAAAAAATTCCTGGATCCGCTCCCTTGATTAAATTATGTCATTATTAATGTATAAAGTATATGGACCCCCACCTGGAAAAACGGTTTGAACTTTAACCAGTATGGTGAATAGTTTTGACAGGTTCAATATTACTTCATCTACAAAGATCTATGCTAGTAAGGTTATTGACTTGTAGCATTTTCAAGAAATGTAAGCAAACTGTGGCCTCAGTGAGAAATACTGTGCAACTTCCAACTTGTCCCTTCTATTATCTTTTTATAGACCTAATTTTATAGTTTCATGGTTTGGTCCTTCAACAATACCCTTAAACAATTAAGTCAATGAATTCACCTTTTCGGTGCTAGCTTGGATTGTGTTATGGTCACCAAAAAGATCAGACATCGTTCTCAGATTTCCATACAAATTCACTGACTTTAAAGAGAAAATTTAGGTAGCTGATTTCTTTAGTTAGCTATCTTAACAGCAGTTAGAAAAGCTTTAATCAAGCTAGAGAAAACGATCATTTACTTGTATTTAGAGAACTATGACTAAACTTAACCAAGTAGATAGTTCATTTAGAATCAGTGCATAGAGAAATTCGAGAACAATGTCCGAACTTTTTGGTGACCCTAACACAATCAAAAACAATTAATACCCCATGACGGCTAGTGCCGAAAAGGTGAAATGTAGTTTGTGTTTTTGAAATTAGTCAAAATATAGTCCTTTCTAGTAGCAAGTCTACAAAATAAGCAGATCTACTTATTCAGATTAAGCTATTTTTGCTTTCTTGTGATCGATACATATTATCTTAGGCTAATTAGTTTAGTTAATTTTAAACTTAGATGTAGGCCTAAATACTTTAATAGTTTATCTCCTTTTCTTGGTTTGAAATGTGTAGATAATTACCCCTGCGTGCTAAGGTATAATAATGTGATAATCTTTTAAGTGATATGCTGTTACCGTAATTAATTAGTCACTTCAGTGCATGACAGTGCAGGTATAATTATAGACACCAATTTGGAGGCATTCTCTGATATTGTACTTCTACAACGTACTTTTCCCAGACTGATCTAGTTTTGAATTTTCTCAGTTGCTGAGAGTTTTAAAGTTTTAATAAGCCCACTTCGATTCTGACACCATAAGTATTCAGTCGTTTGATAAAAAGCTTAAAGTAATTCCCAGAAGCAAAATATAAATGTTGCCACCAATTGCTCTATTTCACTATGACGTCACATCAAAACAATCTATTGTTTAAAAGCAATTATAGGATCATGTTTGTCGGACGGGGTCATTATCAGCGCTAATTCACTGAAAATAATCTAAAACGCGTATGAATCCACGAAGAGAAGTAGAATAGTCAGCAAATGCTCAGAATATTTTAAAGTACATATTAACACATATTATACCTGAAGCAACTTTTGTTGAATTTTCTATTGGATTTGGCAATTTTATCCCCACATAAACAAGCAGACGTGACGTCATAGTGAAATAGGGCAATTCTATGTAGAATTAATTTATATGTTTTCAATAAAGGGCATCAGAATTTCAAAATGCTTTCTTGAAAAAGTGTGCATGTTTTACTTGCCACATGCTATGTATATTAATTTAAAAAATTGTTGTTTCAGCAACACTTGCTTAATATCATTACTAGCTGTCATAATGATTAAGTGGCATTAAGATTATAGATTGTAGCTTAGCTTAGTTAATTAAATTTAGAATATGCTAAAAAATCAGAAAGTCAGATATCAAAAATATTGGTTATATGCTCCTTTATAATCATAGCAGCTTAAATATACTAATTATTTCTTCAGTGGGGTATAATTACATCGAGGTTAGGTACCAGAGGTTAAAGTATTACCTAACGCTTAATTATTGAGACCATATAATTATCACAATAATATTAATTACAATGCAACTAATATAACCAGCCGACCACTTAGACAGCAAGAACCAATCAACCAGTGTAGAATAAAAAAAATTCTTTCCATTACTTTGAGTATTGAAACCAATCAGAAAGCAGCAGAAAACAATATAGCCTTTTAACATATCTTTTATTCCCACGAGAAAATGGGATGGCTATCAGGGTCAAATTACAATCTTAGGTTTTGGATTGGCTCTGCTCCACTACCCAAAGTTGGAATGTATTGTTTTCATTCTACTTTTGAACTGGTTCTCTCGTCTAATCTTGTCTAACTGGTCTAACTGGTCTATAATAATTAGCCCTGGTTACAGTAGTTGCACTGTATCCTCCTTTACATAAATAAAATGATAGACAGTGTTTGTAAGATAGAAATACCTATTAACCTTTGATTATTACCTAATATAATAGTTTGATATTTTGGGTAAGTACATGAACATTTAATATGGGCAGAAATTAGGCTATTAACCTTTGATTATTACCTAATATAATAGTTTGATATTTTGGATAAGTACATGATCATTTAATATGGGCAGAAATTAGGCTTTAGAGTAAGTAAGATTTATTATAATAGTAGGTGACTGACAGATGATAATGTACTGTATAGTCTAACTGGATACCATAATAATGACTCAGTTAATCTTTTTTTTTTCCATATTAGTTAGTGATAAGCTTGTAGTTATTAATTATGTTTTTTCTCTCACATAGAATCACCATCAGCCTTCCATTGTGGTGGTGACCAATTTCAGTGTGTCGCAAATCAGACATGCATTGTAAGAAGGTGGAGATGTGATGGTGAACCAGATTGTGATGATGGGTCTGATGAAAAGGACTGTCGTAAGTATAATGCTAAACAAGTTTTGTATTCAGCTTAAAGCATGCATCAAGAGTATAACAATATTGCTAACGATTATATTCTGTATTTTAGCTCCAAGAACATGCCATTCAGATCAATTTCGCTGTACAAATGGTAAATGTATTCAAAAGTCCTGGGTTTGTGACAGAGAAGATGACTGCAAGGATGGTACAGCATCAGATGAGCAAAATTGTGGTCAGTAGATCTGTTCAAGTAATACATCAAATAATTATTCAATCAGAGCAGTGAATGGACATTTAATATGTAATAATCACAGCTGTGATTAGATTACAATGCATGATTACATCATATTACATCGTACATTTTAAATATCACGTATCACCACGTGTATGAGAAGTCTCAATAAACGGCAGTGCATTGTTTTCTAGTTGAGCTAGTGGCTCATTTTTTACCTGACTTGAAGTTCAGTGAAAAGGCCCAATTGGCACTCTTCTTCAGTCGTTTCATACCTGGGGGGGGGGGGG